CGGTCTAGAATGCGTTGTGAGTGTTTAGGGGCATCGACAATAAAAGCTATAAATGGCAGTAATTGTGTGTGCCTGCAGCAACTTGGAACGATTAACAAAGTCTCCTGTAACTGGCAGTGTAAAGTTTGCAGAATCATGTATGCACGTTAAGATTTTAGCCCCGATGGGGGTTGTGATACACTCATTTTTATAGAAAACTTATATTTAGGTGGTGTGAATTCTTTGGAGACAGCTGCACCGCAGTCGGTGATAGCCCAGCTGCATTGATTCCCAGTACGCAGGAAAGCGCTCGTGTCTGGAAACATTCAATTGCCGTGTGAAAGCTTACTGCCGGAGGCACAGCATCAAAATCGGTATAAAAGTGCTTTGTAAAGAGCTCTAATCGACTTCAACGGATACAAGCAATGCTAGACTCTTATGTCTTATGCCTATGAGAAGTTGTAGACCAACTGAGTGGGGGAAGCTATAACCTTTGAGGCATTCCAGATTCTAATTAACTTCCTGCATTGCAGCAAAGCCTAGTAGGAGAATAAGCTGGGAAGGGCGCAATAGTAGATTATGTCATTTGATAATAGATTTCATGAGATAGATTTTTGGACATTTAGACGATCTCAGTCGCAAGTTTGCAATCGCTTTGATACTGACTCAGAAAGTCTTCCGACACCAAACATCCACAATAAATGAAAAAACATTTTAATTTTTGGTAATGTCATTACTTAGATTAAAAATCTCTTCTTTTAGACGAGAAGATAACGCGTTTACACATTCTTTTATGTTTCGGGCAACTAAAGGCGAAGGCATTTGGGTCTCCCCTAAGCATTTATTTTTCACCCTCAAAAAAGGGTGAATTCACTTTAGCCATGTGGATGAATTGCAGACCCGACCACAAAGTAAAATCGCTTATTTTTTTATCACTGATTGAATTGTGAAGAACGCCTACTCACTCGTGTTGTGCAGGTAGTCCACTATCCACTAAGCATCGTAAGCTTCGGACCGTCTCAACTTTATGGAGGTTGATCGCATGCGCTTTCTGAGATGAGATGGGATCAGTGAACAAGTGATAGCAGTGTCTAATTTAGGGAGCGTGCTTAACTGCAACGAAGAGAGGGCTTGCATTATCGTCTGTTTTGTTTAAGCAGCTTAACATAATAGCAGTCATTCTTGCAAAAAAGGACAAACACCATAAAACACTTTTATTAAGCACCTTATTCACCTATTTGAGGACACACATTTGACTTGGAAACATTGTGTCTCCTCACACCTAAGAATAAAACCAGCACAGAGTCAAAATGCGCCACTTTACATTAACTCAAATCTCGCAAACAGGAAGGCTCCATCGTATGGGCGGAGGCCATCAGCAATAGCAAATGCTAAACACTTCTGACTTGACGAGACTCGGATATCCAAGTATAATTGGTTATAAGAAGTGAATTACCAATTGCAACGAAAACTGACTTTATAGATGGAGTTTGGGAACAACTTCACCTCCAAATTCTTAAACATATAAGGGTTAATTTTGTTGTTTCGGCTGATTGGTTATTAGTGGGAGAGGGCATTTGATTGTCAATTAGACCCCAATAGACCTGGTGTTGGTTAACCTACCGTGAGAAAAATATGTGGGGCTATTAAATTGCTTTAAAGGTTAGCAGGTCCTCTGCCGCAAGGATGCTGTGCTACAAATCTACTTTGGTAAAGGTGCGTACTGGAAGGCGGGGTTAAACGGTGAAACAAACACTATCAAATTTGAGAGTCCGTGCTAAATTTCTAGCCGAAGTTTGCGAAAATGTTGATAAGTTGGAGAAAACCCGCGCAGTCACTCTTAAATGAGCCAATTAATGAATCAGAGAATGCGGAGGCAAACAAATTCAGTATTCGTTCTGACGTTCCTTTTACTATCCATCACCAGTTCAATCAATCAGCGGTTACTTTCTTCCATACCACAGTGATGTCCATAATTTGCAGCGGATACACCACTTTGTTCCTTTCTAATCACTTCCTATTCATAGTAACTTGTTAGGACCTCGAACCATTCTTATAGAACTCGTGGGATGCATTAAGTTTATTAGCGCCCGTCACAAATGCCCCAAATGATTTGTAACTATGTGTATTGTCCGATGACATACAAGTTTTAATGTAGAAATATTTATACGACCTGGAGACTCATTAACAATCGGTCAGATGTCCACGACTATGCAGTGTGACCACCTCTGACCCACCAATTAGGTGGTAAGCGGTCTGTCTGCACTAATCCACCTGTTTCGTATGCCTAGTCAGACTGTCTGGTTCCAGAGGCAAGCAAAGGGAGCACTGAACCCCTTACGCATCAGTCGCTAGAGTTAAAGAAGGTGAGTATGCATGTGTCACAGACTCAAGCTACTACAGCTAAGTGTCTTACTTAGTTAAATTGCAACGCTTTGCTAACTGACGGTTTCAGTCGCAGTCACTAAGGTGACCATAATGTCTTAGCTAAGTCAGCTGGGCGTCCCATCCATTTTTTACTTAAAATATGCAATCAACTCAAGTATTCTGCCTTCTCGTATACATAAAGGAGTTTTAGGGCTCTAACATGGTAATTTACAGGCCAAACCTAAATAAACAAACCCATCTTTTTACTTGCAAATGGTATCCTGTGCAAAAAATAACCCTAGTTTAGATTTATAGATGCGGATCATGGCGGTTTTTACCGCTTTTATTTATTCCATCCCTTGAAATTGCAGCAGTTCCGCGATTTGGTTCACTAAGGTCCAAAACGGCTAAATTTTTAATAAAAATTGGACTTATCGTAGTAAAGTTGAAGTTTTTGGCAGTAGACAAAATAATCATTTATAAGTAAACAAAGAATTTACTCGTTATAGCTATTTGTGTTGGAAGAACTTAAGAATTACCTTTGAATTGTCCTTAAATGAGCTAAGAGTTCCAAGCCTTTGTAAAAGAAGTCAGGGCTTTGCTCTTTTGACGATTTAAGATGCGCACGGCCCACCTTAACCGTTTGTACATTTCCAGCAATAAAAGATGCATATCTTTGTTCTTCTCTGATTTTGTCCGTAACAATAATTTTGCCACCAAACTTGGTTGGTTTTACACCTTAGCTTTTTTAATTTTATGGAGCTCTTAGAGCTACAAACGCATTATTTGCCATTTTTGGTTGTGAAATAATTAATTGCCTCAACTTTGAGAGCTTTGTTCTTTACTTAGAGCATTATATTTCACTCTTTATAGGTTTCAGCTTGCTAAAATTGCTGAGCAAAATTTCAAATGTCCAAAACTGGGAGTTATGAAGTAGGATGCTTAAACAGCGTGTAAGTTCAGATAACAAATTGAATGGGTATCCATTCGCGTTGTTAAGAGAAAGGCAGATAGGACGCGAGCATTGTCAAGGGTAACATTCTTGGATGTTAATCGCCTTTGGCGTGTTTAGACTAGCATCAGCTACCTTTCACATTTATAGGCATGAAGTGCTACAAAATGCCTACATTTTTTTCTGGTATGAAGTACAGCATACCTTCCGCACCCAAAAAATACATAGCATTGGGAATAAAGGTTTGGTCTTTGCCAGATTTGTCCTCATAGGCCCGAGCTGCCCAAAACTCTGAGCCATCTAAATGGTAAATCCTAATTTAAGATTGATCTACGGCTGAAACCGTAAGTTTATTGTGATGGGATCTAACAGAAACCAATCTCGATCCACCATGAAAAGAATTGGCCAACAGGCGACTCACGGTATTCAATGTATGCATCTTAAAAGTGAGTAGGAAATGTTTTATTAGTGAACAAAAGCAGGCAACTATTAAGTACAAGGAAGAATCACTATCAAAATTGGTATTACTAATTGTTAAGACCCTAGTTAAGCTGATTTTTATCTCTTAAGTTGTAGTGGCTATTGCGTGATGCATTACTACTCTAAAATGTCACTACCACCTTCTTTTGGTGAATGACGTTGGTGTTTGCATGCTTTGATACATTTTGCTACCAGGAGCGCAAAAATTATGGTTTTATTAGTCCTTTGAAACAAAAGTACAAAGCGGGGCAGAGTGATCATTTCCCACCGCCCACTTAAATTGGACAATTTTTAAAGCGCTGGGTGGTAGCACAGCTCGATCATTTTACGTTTGGCTAAGTGACTTCAACCAAAGCATATTCTTCAAGGAGGTGGCCACTCCCTGCACCTAAATATGAGAGTTCTTAAGTAAATAAAACATTTTTTACTTCAAAGCTCTTCAACTTTATTGTTTAAAAACAAACAATTCGGCATAAACCATTATTCGTTCCTAATGAGTGGCATAGCTCATTTTTCCATTTGAATAACTGAAATTGATGTCCAGCATTATCGCTTCAACATAGCGACAGGCAATTAAGTCGATGACGTCAAAAACGAATGTAGCCGAAATTCTCTCTGCGACTGCAATATAAAGCGACGCATAGAGTGGAACCAGTTGATCAGGGCATGACTTCTCTGTTCCAAGACATTCACATCACTGTTAAGATTTTAATCTCACTTTTAAATGCAAAGGCAACACAAGATTTGGATGGAAAATGAATCCCAAGGAGCGTTTGTCAAGCATGTCACACTTGTAAGGGTTGACATTTTCCCCATCAGTTACACGGAATAGATTACCACTACCACCTCTGTGGGATTACGATTTGTCCCGTGTCAACAATCCATCTTCCATATTGGCACATTATTTGCGTCTGCATAGTTAGCTTTAAAGAATGTGATGTAAATGGAACTTTACCAGCTCATTTTATTAGCCTGATCACTTATTTTGCTATAGTTAATTAGCAAATATAAAAGTCACGCGTTTGTTGAGGTTATTATAAATCCGTTTCACAGCATTTGTGTTTGGCTAGCATTGCGTTCCCCAAGTCATAGGATCAAATCATTGCAGGCCAGATTTTGGGCTCGATTTCTCATCTTGTGTACGAAAATAGAAGTTGTACAAATGTACATCCATCGATATTATGAAGGAAAGGGGTGGAAATATTTTGAGCAGGTTGAAATTTTAAATGGGAAGAAGTGTGGCTAAAAGGGAAAGGAGACTCATGAGCAGGAGAGGCGAGTTGGAAGGGAGAGCGGAATTGCATTTGGGACGATTGCAGAAGCATAACCGTCGGTTCACGGTGTACGATTCCTGGAAACATACTGGGGAGATTTGAAAGCGAACATTGAGATTACTTGAGCAAGTCCTTATGTAGAGATCTCCATGACGCAAATCTAGACCAGGAAAAAGAGAAATTTTAAGGTATTTCATTTGGATTTGCTTCGATGAATTTGCAAATGCCTACCAGCGTTGTCCAGTGGAGCTCGAATCCACTTCACACAGTAGCCGTTGCACATTTTGTAAGGAATTTCGTTGAAATGGAGCAGTGTACGATTAAAAGGGTCTCGGCAATAGGGATGCAGGTCAGATCGACACTCGACACAGAGTATACTTTGTACTAAAAAAATACACCATCTTATTTCCACTAGTAGTTGCTCAAAACATGATCAGCTAGGACATTGTTCGATTTGAGTAGTATGAGTGACAAGTGGGACCCAAATTTATATGTTAGGGTGAACAAAATAGGTCCAAACTGCTACCACCTTTATTTTGCTAGCTACTGACAAGATTTACTTCAACTATCTCACAACTACGTTAAATGGTATAGTTTGTAACTCAACCATACCAATAAACACTGATTCTAGGTCGGGTCATTCTTAAAGCTACAATAGCTGTATTGTAAGTTTATGGAATTTCAGTAAGCAAGCCAAACATTTCCCACTGAATCTCAACCAAATCGCTCAAATTTTGATGCACTGAAGGGCCGCGCACCAAGTAAGACCGTTCAGTGGTAGCAATTTCAACACCATTTTATAAACCTGAAATGTTATTGTAATTAAAGTTATTAGAATGTGATTCCTATTCTGGAACCATTTATACCTTACTTATAAGCTTTCTAATACAAAGATTATAAAGAAAATAGAACAGTAGCCGAATTATTAAAAGCAATAAATAATGCTTCTTCCACCAACCACAGAATGCAAATCCAGTTGTCAGTTAAAGCATTAAGCGAAAAGGGCACGGGATGAGGAGGTGCCGTCAGCTTCGCTGAAAGTGAAATTTGCGACTACAAAGAGTGAACAGCCTTGTACTCGATTCTAAACGAATCGTATCGAATTTCACAAGCTTTACTCAATATTTTGTTCGTCTACTCGTTAAAAGTACTTCTCATTCGCACCAAAAACTACCACCACCAGTGTAGGATGCCTCCCGAATTTCAGTGCTTTGATGCCTTTCCACCCTTTGATTGCTTTGGTGGACATTTTTAAGGCTCCGCCTCTGCATATTTGCTAGGCAGGGACCTCAGGACCATACAATTGTTTTGTTTGACGAATTTACCGAAATTATAAAGAACTAAATGCCTCCGTCCCTTACCACTACCTGTAAAATTCTGTAACCAAGACAGAATAATTACCTTAACCGTAAAGATATATTTATTTTATCGAATGCTTGGCCGTAGGACCATATTAACCTCTCCATACTGCCTATGAGAACAATAACCGTTCGACTTTTAAGGCTCAAAATCCTGCGGCAGATTTATATGTGCCCATAAATGTGCTGCATGCCTGGATCACTAAAACGGCTTTTAACAAATACTGAGTGTTGAACCGCTGGCACAAATAAGTCTGCTCATTAAAGCGAGTCTGCAAAATTAGTTAAGGCAGCACTCAAGGCTTAATTGCCTGTAAAGTGCCTTTAGTTGAGGTGCAGAGGTGTGGATGCATTCAAATCATCACTGTTAATAATTTCCTCCTCAGTGTAGTAAAACTTTGGATCATGACGCCCAAGGAAAATCAGTCGTTACACTATTCAAGAAGGTTTCCGTAAATTTTTTGAAGGGTAAAAGATCTAAGTTCGGACCCTATGTTCTGCTCTGAAGCCCATCCAAGTT